TTATGGTCCTAGATTTAGATGGCCCAAGAGAACATGAAAAACTAAAGAAAGGCTTGCCAAAATAATCTGAGAATACAAAGGCATAGCAAAAGTTAGATATATTGAAAGAAAGGCTACGAGCTGTTAAAGGTGTAAATATTTTTGGCAAAATTGATGCTAGTGAACTCAGTTTGGTTTCAGATTTAGTAATCCCACCAAAGTTTAAAGTACCAAAATTTAAAAAATATGATGGAACAAAATGTCCTCAGGCACATATCACTATGTTCTGTCAAAGAATGACTGGGCATACAAACAATGAAAAGTTACTTATCCATTGTTTTCAAGATAGTCTTACTGGATTTACTGCTAGATGGTATATTCAATTAGACAGGAGTCATATTCATTCATAAAAAGATCTGGCTAAAGAATTTATTACTCAATACAAGCATGTTACAGATATGGCTCTAGATAGACTGTCCTTGCAAAACATGAAAATGAAATTTAATGAAAATTTTAAAGAATATGCCCAGGATGGTGAGATGTTACTGTTCAGGTTCAACCTTCTCCCACCAAGAAAAAAATAACTATTTTGTTCATCAATACTCTTCAAGCATTATACTATGACAAGCTCATTGGTTATACCATGAAAAACTTTGCTGATATGGTGATTATGGGAGATATAATAGAAAATGCCATTAAAAATAGAAAGAAAGAAATGAGGACTATCCAAGAAAAAAGAAGCAGAAGTGCAAGCTGTCACCATTGAAAAACCAAAACTAAGCCCTTTTATCCCATACCATTTATATCCTGTATACCAATTTTTTTACCTAATCATTTTTAATATTTCCTAAAACCCATGCCATTACCAACCAATGCAAACCTAGACACCTACTTTCCAAGCCAATGTTCACCCTCGAGCACCTTCACCACGACCTTCCCTTCAGGCAAATACCATAGATTTTAATCGAATGGAACCTCAAAAAAATCGAGAGCAATAATGATTTGATCCAATTCCTATGACATACAAGAAATTGTTCCCTCGGTTATTCCAAAAACATTTAGTGGATCGACAGCCAATAAAGCCTTTGAAACCTCCATATCCAAAATGGTATGATCCTAAAGCTTCATGTGACTATCATTATGAAATTTAGGGTCACTCCTTGGAAAATTGTACAACTTTCAAACGTAGGGTGCAAAGCTTGATTGATGATGAAATTTTAAATTTCATAACTAAGTTCAGACTAAGTGTGGAGGCCAATCCATTACCTAATCATGATAGAAGATCAATAAATGCTTTAAATAGTGAAACAACTCATAATATTAAAAGAGAAGTAAGCGAGATCAGAACCCTTATGGATGAAATATTTACTACCCTTGTGAAAACAAATATGATTCATCCAATACCTGAAAACTCAGATGATGGAAAATTTTCATATAATTCAGATTACACTTATGAATTCTATATGAGGATGGTTGGTCATTCACTTCAAGATTGTAAAGCATTTTGATAGGAGTTACAGAGAATGATGGATTCTTTCTTGGTTGAATTTTATGAAAAACATGAAAAAAGTTCAATGAATGTTATGATTGAAGACTCATCTAAAAGTAGGCCTTACTGAATGAATTTTAAGCCTATTACCATCTTCTATAAAGAGAAATCGAGTGCTAAGGTTAATAAGCCAGTTCACATAAATTTTGAGCATGTCACAATCTTTTATGATAAAAATTTAAGTGCTAAAATTGGCGAACCAGTTTGTACAACTATGCCAAAAATGACAATTGAGGTCCCTAACCTATTCTTGTACAAATCAGATATGGGAGTCCCTTGGAAATATAATTGTAATATCTTGTCACAAGGTTTGGATAATGGTTCTCTTCAATATGGCTCATGTGATACAAGTACATCAAACGTAACTGACATTGGAGGTATAACTTGAAGTGGGCCATGCTATACCCTAGAAGCACTTGAGAGAGCACGAAAAAAAAAAAGCAAAAAAAAGGGAAACTAGCTTAAAAAAAAAAAGATAAATCATCCAACGATCAAGAGACTTACTCAACCTCAGTCTTAGATAAAGAATGTAAAAATTTGATTATAGAAAAAGAGGCCTGTGAGTTTTTAAAGCTTATTAAACACAGTGAATATAGTGTGGGAGAATGATTAAATTGCTTACCAACTCAAATTTTTATGCTTTCGTTACTGTTAAATTCTTAGTCTCATAAAAATGCTTTACTCAAAATACTTAACGAGGCTTATATAGCTCATAATATATCAATGGAGAAACTTGATCGTATAGTGAGAAACATCACAGTGGAAATTTATATATCATTTAGTGGAATGAAATTCCATATGGTGGTAGAGGTGATGCTAAGGCCTTACATATCTCTATAAGATACAAGGATCATACACTCGCAAAAGTGCTCATTGATAATGGATCTTCTTTGAATGTCATGCCTATGACTACACTATCTAGATTACCAGTTAACATGTTTTACATGAAAATGAGTCATATGATAATGAGAGCTTTTGATGGGACTCGTATTGAAGTGATAGACAATATTGAGCTACCAATCTAAATTGGACCATGTAATTTTGATATAGTCTTTCAAGTCATAGATATCGCTTTTTTCTATAGTTATCTTTTTGGAAGACCATGAAGTCACATGGCAGGAGCTGTTTCTTTCACTCTGCATCAGAAGGTAAAATTCATAATTGATGAAAATGTAGTCATTATTGCTGGTAAAGAAGACCTATTGGTGACTAAACCTTTTACCATATTATATGTTGAAGCAACTGATAAAGCTTCAAAATGTTTTTTCAGATCTTTTGAATTCATTAATGCAACTTATGTAAGTGAAAGATCAAAAGTGTCTATTCCATGTCTATCCAAAGCTTTCAAGATGGCACTTAAAGAAGTGATAGAGAAAAGACAACAAGTGTGGGCTGACTTGTAAGGGATACAACGACCATGGATAATGCCTAAGAAAGATGATCGATTTGGGTTGGGGTACAAGCCAACTTGAAAAGAAAGAATGAAGTTCATAGAGAAAAAAAGAGAAAAAAGGTTGGCTCATTTTTTGGGGTAAAAAGTAGAAACCAAAAGCCTATATTTTCTTTTCATTTACGTGACTTTCATCCCAGCTAGTTATATCTATCCAGATGTAGCAGGCAACATAAAAAAGAGTTTACACCATCATTGAATGATATCTTCGTTGAATTTTTTATACAAATGGTGGGTGAAGAAAAGAAAAACGAAGATACAAGCTGTCTATAGGTTTATCTTACTCTTTTTGGTGCATAACTGAAAAATTGGCATGTTAAGGAGCTACCTGTTGTTTTTAAATTTTCTCCAAAGTAATGTGTTGAACCTAATCTAAATGCTTTTGTTAAAAGCATTAAATGTTTTATGTGTGTTTGTTTCCTCATTTTCAATTGAATAAATGACAAGTGTATCACATTTGTCTATTTCTTTTACCTCTTTAATTTTAATTCCCTACATTACTATACATCTTTCTACATTTCGTCAATTTCACTTATTTTTAGGTATTTGAATAATGAATATGAAGATCATCATAACAATATTCCAAGATTTGATTTTGAAAATTTTGTTTATATTGGTGAACTCGATGATGAAAAGAATGTGGAAGACCATGTAATATCCTAAAAATTATTGAGATTAGTAGAATAAGAAGAGAAGCAAATCATGCCTCATCAAGAAGCCATTGAAGTTATTAATTTGAGGGATGAAGAAACTAAAAAAGAGGTTAAGATTGGTACTTCAATGTCATCACCAATAAAGTAAGAATTGATAAAGTTACTACATGAATATATAGATGTATTTGCTTGGTCGTATCAAGATATGTCAGGGTTGGATACAAAAATTATAATGCATAAGCTACCGTTGAAGCCTGAGTGCAAACCAATTAAATAGAAGTTGAGAATGATGAAACCTGAAATATTGTTGAAAATAAAAGAAGAAGTGAAAAAACAATTTGATGTGAGATTCTTAGAAGTGGTCAAATATTTTGAATGGGTTGCAAATATAGTCCCAATACCCAAAAAAGATGCCAAAGTGAGAATGCTTGTTGATTATCGAGATTTGAATAAAAAAAGTTTAAAAGATCATTTTTCATTACCTCATATTGACACTTTAGTGGACAATACCACTAGGCATTCTCTATTGTCATTCATGGATGGATTTTTAGACTATTATCAAATTAAAATGGCACAAGAAGATAAGGAAAAGACTACTTTTGTAATAGTATAGGGAACATTTTGCTATAAAGTTATACCCTTTGGTTTGAAAAATGCTAGGACAACTTATCAAAGAGCCATGGTAACTATATTCCATGATATGATGCACAAAGAAATAAAGGTGTATGTAGATGACATGATTGCTAAATCCCGTGAAGTAAAAAAATCATTTGACTAATCTCATAAAGCTATTTGAAAGATTAAGAAAGTTTTAGCTCAAGCTCATTTTAGTTAAATGCACTTTTGGTGTAACCTCAAAAAAATTACTGGGATTTATTATCAATAAAAGAGGAATAGAATTGGAACCAGATAAGATATGTGCCATTCAAGAGCTACCACATCCGCTCACGCAAAAAGAAGTAAGGGATTTTTAGGAAGATTGAATTATATTGCTCATTTCATTTCTCAACTTACAGTCAAATATGATCCTATATTTAAGATTTTTCAAAAGCACGAGTCAGAAGAATGGGATGAAGATTGTCAAATGACATTTGAAAAAGTTAAAGAATACCTATTAAACCCGCTAGTATTAATGTCGTCTGTCCCTAGAAGACCTTTTATCCTGTATTTAATGATGCATGAAAAATTAATGGGATGTATTTTAAGACAACATGATGAAACAGGAAGGAAAAAATAGACCATTTATTACCTAAGCAAAAAGCTTACCGATTACTAGTCAAAGTATTCACCATTAAAAAAGATGTGTTGTACATTAGCTTGGATAGCTCGTCATCTCAGACAATACATGTTGTATCATACCACTTGGCTCATGGCAAAATTAGATCCCATCAAGTACATCTTTGAAAAACCTTCATTGTCGAAAAGAATAGCAAGATGGCAAGTATTACTTTCTGAATATGACATTGTATATGTATCTCAAAAGGTAATCAAAGGAAGTGCTATTGCTGAATTTCTTACAGAACTCGCTCATGAAGATTATGTGCCTATGACATTTGATTTTTCAGATGAAGACTTAATGTCTGTATTGCACATCGATAAAGAAGAGCATAATGAAGATATATGGAAGACATATTTTGATGGTGCATTAAATGCTTTAGGGCATGGTATTGGAGTAGTTTTGATATCTCCAGAAGGAGATTACTACCCAATCACTATGAAACTAAAATTTGATTGCACTAATAATATGACAGAATATGAAACATGTGTTCTGGTTCTTCAAGCTGCTCTTGAAAAAAAGGCTTATACTTTAAAAGTTTATAAAGACTCTACCTTGGTCATATACCAATTGTAAGGAAAATGAGAAACCAGAGACTCAAAATTGATTTTATACCAAAAGTACATATTAGAATTAATTAAAAAATTTAAGAATATTTGGTTTCATTATTTACCTTGAGAAGAGAATTAGATGGCTGATACATTTGCTACATTAGCAGTAATGTTCAAATTAAGTGAAAATGTTGAAATCCAACCAATCAAATTGAGCTTACGAGAGAAACTAATTCACTATGCAAATGTTGAAGAAGGAGTTGATGGAAAACCATGGTATTTTGACATATTACAATATGTTAAATATCAATAATACCTAGAACACATATCAGAGAATGATAAGAGAACGTTGAAAAGGTTAGCAATGAGTTTCTTTCTAGATGAAAAAATTTTATATAAGAGAAGTCGAGAGTAAACACTATTGAGATGTGTGAATACTGCTGAAGCCAAAAAATTACTAGAAGGAATTCATTGAGGTGTTTGTGAAACTCATACAAATGGTCACATGATGACTAAATAAATAATGAGAGCAGGATACTATTAGTTGACAATGAAAAAAGATTGCATTAAGTATGCTAAAAAATATCATAAATATCAAATTTATGCAGACAAGATTCAAGTTCCTCCAACATCTTTGCATGTTATGTCAACACTTTGGCCTTTCTCTATATAAAGAATGGATGTGATAGGGCCCATTACACCAAAAGCCTCAAATGGACATCGATTCATTTTAGTGGTAATTGATTACTTCACAAAGTGGGTAGAAATGGCTTCATATGCCAAAGTGACAAAAATGATGGTTTGTAAGTTCATCAAGAAAGAGATCATATGTCGATATGGCCTTCTAGAAAGGATCATTTCGAATAATGCTCTTAATTTGAATAATAAAATGATGACTAAGGTCTGTGCTCAGTTTAAAATCAAACACCATAAATCAGCACCTTATCGTCCAAAGATGAATAGGACAGTTGAAGCGACCAATAAAAACATAAAGAGAATTATTAAAAAGATGACAGATGTGTATAAATATTGGTATGAAAAGCTACCATTTGCATTACATGCTTATCAAACTTTGATACGTACATCTACAAGAGCTATACCATTTTCATTAGTATATGGGATAGAGGCAGTGTTGCCCATTGAAGTTGAAATTCCTTTCCTGCGTATTCTTATAGAAGTTGAGTTAGAAAAAGCTGAGTGGGTTCACACTCGATATGAACAATTGAATCTCATTGAAGAAAAAAGATTAGCTGCACTTTACCATGGCCAACTGTATCAAAGAAGAATGATGTGAGTTCATGACAAGAAAGTTCACCCACGACAATTTCGAGAGGGAAAGTTAGCATTGAAAAAGATTCTTCCTAACCAATAGGATCCTCGAGGAAAATGGGCTTCTAATTGGGAAGGATCTTATGTGATGAAAAAAGCTTTTTTTGGTGGGGCACTAATCTTGGTAAAAATGGATGGAGATGATCTGCCAAATCCAGTTAATGCCAATGTAGTAAAAAAGCATTATGCTTAAAAAAATAAAAAAAAAAGCAAAATGAATTTAAAAGATGCCTGAGTTGAAAACCTGAAATGGCAGTTTAGATAAAAATAAAAAGGAAAAGTGAATGGAATGGCTCAATTCTCAATATGTGTTAGAAAATCTTAATAGTTTTGGGCTAGTTTGGTATGCTACATTTTCAAAAAGTCAAGGGCACCAATTAAGAGTCTTCAAAAAAGAATCCATGATGAATTAGTTTATGATGATCTGAATATTTGTTATGTGATTACTTATTGTCCTTGTTATATCTTTTTTGATAATACATGAAACACTTCTTCTTTTTTTCGAATAAAATACCTCTTTATTTATCTTTCTTTTTATCCCTCTCGTTAAAAAGAAAAATGTGCAATGTGTTATAATTATCATAAAATTCAAAAGATGATGAAAGAATAAAAATGACCATAAAAGACACACACATTATTTTGAAGGAGATTTAAAGTGATATGCAAAATATTAAAGAACAAAGGCCAATGAGAAGAGTGGTTTGTGAGTCATAAAGTGGTTGACATGGAACATAGAATATGAAGAGAAATCTTTGTTAATTGAACTTAATCAACCGTTGGAATGCATAGGATTCAAGAAAAGAAGAAAGGAAACAAACTTTGAAAATATTTTTAAGATTAAAGAAAAATGACAACGAAAAAAAAAAGAGAAAGAATATGGTCTTTTCATTTGCATAATAAGTGCATTCGCATCATGATCATTATTTATTGCATGGCATTGTAAAAACATGAAAATGTCATTCACGTATTCATGTGACACGACAGATGTATGGGTCTAAGACAATCTAAGACTAACAAAAAAAAGTCAAAAGCAGAAAAGATGTGAACCTTTTGTTTAGAGAAATCTTTCAAATACCATTGCCTCTCAGATCTTTAATTTAAAGTTTGTTGCCTTTGGTTAAATGAGCCATTTAAAGTTCGTTGCCTCTAGTCAGATGAGCCTTTTAACATTTAAAGTTTGTTGTCTTTGGTTAAAGGAGCTTTTTAACATTTAAAGTTTGTTGCCTCTGGTCAGAGGAGCCTTTTGAATTTAAAGTTTGTTACCTCTGGTGAGTGGAGCTTTTTAACATTTAAAGTTTCTTGCCTCTGGTCAGAGGAGTTTTTTTAATTTTAAGAGCCTCTGGTCAGAGGACTCTATCAAAATTAGGCATGATTTGTAAGACCAAATGGCATAATCTATAAATCCTCTCAGATCTTTAATTTAAAGTTTGTTGCCTTTGGTTAAATGAGCCATTTAAAGTTTGTTGCCTCTGGTTAAATGAGCGTTTTAACATTTAAAGTTTGTTATCTTTGGTTAAAGGAGCTTTTAGAATTCAAAGTTTGTTGCCTTTGGTTAAAGGAGCTTTTGGATTTAAAGTTTGTTGCTTTTTGTGAAAGGAGCCTTTTAAATTTAAAGTTTGTTGCCTTTGGTTAAAGGAGCTTTTGAATTTAAAGTTTGTGCATCTAGTAAGAGGAGCTTTTTGAATTTAAAGTTTTATAGCTTCTGTTTATAGGAGCCTTTCAAATTTTCTTTCAAAAAAAAAAACTTTATGTTCAATGTTTCATTTTTTGTATGTGTTTACCTGAACAAAATTGGTGTCTTTTTGTCTTTGCTTTATTCCTGATTCTCAGAAATAGCAAAGAGGGGTAGCTGTAGGCACCGATTTTGTTCTTTTTTTTATTATTATATAATTATTATTATTATTATTATTATTATTATTATTATTATTAATCTTTAAAAAAAATTAAAAAAAAAGTATTTGATTTCAACTCTGGCAATCGAAATCAAGCTGCTAGAATGATCCAAATTTTTTTCTGACACTGCCTAATATAGCAGCATGAAATTCGATGAGCAAAAGTCACTGGATAGACACCTAAATTTTCCATAAAATGATCCCAAAAGATATGGGATCTTGAATCTCAGAAGCTCTATAAATAGAGCTAATCTCTGCGAGGAATGGACACAAAAACAAAAAGAAGAACAATAAGAGGAAACACATACAATATAAAAAAAAATAACAAACAAAAAAAAATTCTCGAGAATGAAATTCTCAATCTAGGAAGTTGTAGATTTTTTTTGAAAAATCTGGGCTTGGAAAGGTGCTTAGAAAGTGAAAAAGATCACTAGAGAATTTTTTAAAATTTTTTAAAATTTTTTAGGTTGTCGAAATCTGGAAAATTTTAAAATTTTCAACAACCGTTTGAACTTTTCGGCAACCTTTCAAAATTTTCGACGATCGTTTAAATTTTTCGGTGACCAAAATTTGGGTTCATCGTCGGAATCTGAAAATTTTAAAATTTTTCGAGACTGGTTGAAATTTTCAGCCATCGGTGCACGGCAGCCGGCGAAGGGTGCTTGGATTTTAAAGAGAGAGGCTCTGGGGTAGAGAGAGAAAGGAAAAAAATAAAGAAAAAAGCTAAAATAGGCTTTTTATAGGCACCTTAAAACGACGTTGTTTTGGGCGTCTAGACTAAGGCCGACCCGCGCAAGATTCGCACGTTGACTCACGCGCCAACCTAACCCGTTTTTCAGGTTTTTTCTTTTCTTTTTCTTTTTAGTTTTCGTTTTATATTTATATTTATATTTTTTATGTTGATTTTTATGTTATTTTTTAATTTTTTTATGATGTTATTATTATTATTATTATTATTATTATTATTATTTTATATTATTACTGGTAATAATTTTTTAAAAACAAATAAATAAATAGAATAAAAAATGAAACTGAAATAAAATAAGGACCTAAAAAATATAAATAAAAAAATATAATAATAATAACTACTTTAAGCAAATAAATTTTATTACAAGCAAAAATATTATTTAAATTTTACCAAAGTATTGGGATAATTTTAAAAAATAATTTTTGTTAAAAAATAAATAAAAATTGATAAATAAAAAAATCATTTGTTTAAATGAATCTTTTAAATGTAATTTTTAGAGAAAGCTAAAAGAGTTTAGTTTTCTTTAATTATTGCAACTAAAAATAATTTTTTGGATTTCACTACAGAGCTGGGATAATCCAAAATTATTTTATCTAAAATAAAGATTGATTTAAAAATGTAAAAAATTTAATAAAAAATAAAATTAATAATAATTGATATCTTGAATTTTTAAATATATATATATAATTGAAAGAGTTTGATTTTCTTTAAATAAAAGATTAATATTTAGATTTCATCGATGAGTTGGGATAATCTAAATTTTTTTTTTATAAAAAAAATATAATTAAAGAATAAATAATAAAATTTTTAAAAATAATCATAATAACGATTAATTAATTAATTCCTTTAACTATAAAAAATGATTTTATTTAAGATCTTGCCAAAATTAAGATAATTTTAAAACTTGTTCAAAATTTATTTTATAAATTTTAGGAACTCACCAAAAAGTCAGGATGTTCCTAAAATCCTTTTTTAAAACAAATAATTAAAATCTTATGACGAAGTTTCGAGAATTTTGTGAATGGTTAATTTTCTTAAAATATTTTCTAAATAATGATTTTCTATAAATTTCACCAAAGCATTGAAAAATTTATAGAATACGAAATAATAATAATAATAATGTTAATTTTGTAATAGAGAAAAATGTTTTAAAATAAATTTTAGAAAATTAAACTTAAATAAAAAAAGACCACGTTATCAAAATTATAAGATTATGCATGTTTAAATGGTATTGTTCTTTGAATGGGCGACATGAGGGTGTTAATACTTTCCTCACTCATAACCATACTCTCGAACCTAGTCTTGATTTCACAAACCTAAACTTCTTTAAGTAAGTTTTAATTAATTTTAAGATTTTTACTAAAAGATGATATTTTCAGTGGCCAATCACACCTTATAAAAAAGATTAGTGGCAACTCCGAAAATTTTTACCAAGTCTAGCGATCGAGTTCTCCTGGACATAAAATCGTTATGACAACAGAGTTGTAGGGTGTTATAGGATACACACCCCATAAGGGTGCGTATGTTTATGAGTGGACTAAAGAAGATTGAGAGGGTTCACATAGGTATGGTGCATGTGAGTGAACTAGAGGAAACTGAGATGGTTCACCTAGATATGGATGCATGAATGTATATGGGTTCGTGTTTGTTTAGGTTAAGAATACTCTATGAGACTAGAAAAGATTGAGAGTGTCTATGGGTATTGATGTAGCTGATATGATTTGTTGTATACTTATAATTTTCTACAACCAGTGGATCTTTTTTCTTATTTATGGATGTAAGTTGATTGAATCGAACTATATTAAATTGTTGTCTCCTATATGATTGATCGATTATTCAATTATGCTTTCGTTGGTGTGATTGGATTTAGATTTTTTAGTCTAATAAGTGATATCAGAGCTTGAGTTTAAGACATAAAAAAAGTTGAATGTTCAAGACATGAGAAAAAGTAAGCCTAGAGGAGCTCGATTCAAAAAAAGAGTTTAAGTTCATGTTTGGAGGATTAAGGATTGATTTACGTGAAGCATGAATACACACGAGATAAGATGATTGTGAGACTTTCATTACAAATAGAGCTAAGCATATCTAACATGAAGACAAATAATTTGATGAAATTTGAGTCAAGGTGAAAATTATTGAAAATAGTGACTCAAATCCCATTACAGATTTATTTGGGATTAGTTAGATATTGCTTGATGAATAAAAAGACTTGCAGAAGAATAATTTTAAGAGAAAATAGATTCTTAATAAGTAACTTTGACTTACAGAAAAAGAATTCTAAGAGAAAATGAATTTTTAATAAGTAAGTTTGTATGACTATAAATAGATGAAGTCTTTATAGGATTAGGTATAAGAAAAATATGTAAGAGAGTTGTAAGATTTTATGGGATAGACACTCCATAAGAGTATTGAAGATTTACATCTTATAGGTGTGTATATTTATGAGTGTCCTAGAAGAGATTGAAAAGGTCCACAAAAGGATGGTGCATGTGAGTGGACTAGAGATGACCAAGATTATCCGCATAAATATGGGTACATGAGTGTATATAGGTTTGTGTTTGTTTAAGTTAAGAATATTTCATATGATTAGAAGAGATTGATAGTGTTTATAGGTATTGATGTGGCTGATATGATTTGTTGTATATTTATGATTCTTTACAATTAGTAGATTTTTTTTCTCATCTGTAGATATAAGTTGATTGGATTGAATTATGTTAAATTTTTTTTTTATTGATTAATTGTTCAATTATATTTTTATTGGTGTAATTAGATTGGGACCTTTTCGGCTAAGAGAATATGCATGCATAATGAGGTTCTGAAGAGTTATAACGGAAGGAGATGCCCTGGGCTTATTGCTTAGATGACACAGGCCCAAGGGAGGAATTTTTCTGTAGTAGAAAATCGAGTGATGGACGTAAGGATAAAGGTCGCCCGTGTTGCAGAATTGTCTTGCACTCATACTCACCGTGAAACAAATGGCGCGGCTCACATTCTGGCAAAAATGGCAGTAGAAATGGTAGGGTCCATGATCTGGAATGGTGGATATCCAGAAGCTATAAACGACATTGTATTACAGGAAATGTCCTCTTTGAATTAATGAGATCATCTTCTTTTTTAAAAAAAAAAAAAACACTTTTTTTTAGCTATATTAAAATGATAAAATTTTAGTATAAAAAAGAAAAAAAAAAAAGATTTGGTTGAAATCAGATTTTTTTATGTTTCTTTAAGTATTTTTAATCATTAGATTAAAAGCTTAAGGATCACTTCTTTCTTCTACTCATCTCCTTTTATTTTTTAATTTTATTATAATTATAATTATACAGATAAATAGAAAATGATTTTTTAAAAAAAAGTTAAAAAACAAAAAATGTCACTTGGGCTCTTGGCGAGTAAACAGCTCGTGACATAGCAACATTTAACCCTTTAGAAGATTATGATATAATTTTTAATGAATGGTATAGATAGTATAATGATAGATTATCTTCATAAAATTTCATTTCTAATTTTTAAATTAAATTGCAACCATTTTTGAAAAATTTAAGAATGAATTGAATAACATATAAAAGTTTGAAACTAAAAGTTTATAATATTGTATACTATAAAATTAAAAGTTTGATTAGTTTTTGTTTGACATGTGTTATTATTTTATTAAATATTTTATTACATCAACAAATTAATTAATAATATTAATATAAGGTACCAAATTAAATGATAAAATAAAAGTTAAATTATTAAATTAATAATTTTATTTATTTAAATATCAAATTGACAGAATATATATGATACATAGATATTTTTGTTTAACACTATATAATATTGTATTTTCTCCCTTAATTTAAACAACATTGGCCCCTAGCATTCTCCATTACAATTTGTTAGTTTTTATGCTGATAAAAAAATATAACAAAAAAGCTGAAGCAATTTTTTAGAAGGGCCTCGAGTGAGGCAAATAGATAGACATAGACAAATATGCCAACCAAAGACAAACAAAGCCCCATCCAACAGATCCGAGAAATGCGTCGACTGGTCTTTTTGTGCTCAATGCTACGCCTCTTCTTTTTCATCCCCCACACCCAAGCTGCTGCGTCTTTCACACTCTCTTGTCTTCCATTTTTTTTCTTTTTCTTTTTCGTTCTTTTTTTTTTTTTTTTCATAAGTTAGTATTTTACTATTTTCATAAACTGCTAATGAGTCTTGAAAGAAAATTTGGCTCTTGGTGCATTTATATCATATTTATTTTGTATTTTATATGTATAAAATATAAAATAATTATATTATAATTAATTTTGTTGTATTAAAAATAAACTGTATTTTTTAATTTTTATTAAATTTATATAATTTTTATTAAAATTTTAAATTATATTACTTTTAATATTTTTATATTATATTAAATTTAAAATTATTAAACTTACTAAAAATAAAAAAACTTTTCGTTATTTTTAAAAAATATTTTAACACGTAAAATCTTAAATTTTTTACTAACAAAAAAGGCAAATTAAGAGTTTGCAGAGGTAGAGCATAAACAGTAAATATCTCAACTCCAGTACGATTTTTCTCTTCCCTTCTTTTTGTGACCAATGAACAATGGTTGTCACAATCCAACAAAAACTAACAAGAGCAAGAGCTGTAAGGAAATCCAAGTATCCTTCAAAAACCAATACGGAAAAAGAAATACTAAATAAAAATAAAACCAACCATTCCCTAACGTGGAGGCAATGTGAGACCATATATTTCCTTCAATAATTGTAGTATGTCATTTCACAGTTGATTTTGTCTGTTTTTCCAATTCAATAATTTCACTTTTATCGTTTTACATGTTCCATATTTTTTTTTTTCACTTGGCATCATTCTAATCCCTCTGTACCACACAAAACTATAAAGAGTTGGGGCTCTGTGTCTGTCCCCGTCCAGTCTTGTACACCGATTCTGACTCCTCGCTGCTGCCCACTCCCAGCCTTTTCTCTCTCTTTCTCTCTCATTTCCCCCACCATTTCTTTGCCATTCCTACCCCACCCAGACTCAACAATTCCTTCAAAAGCGTGTTAACACGTTCCAAAAAGGCGCGTTAACAACTCCTATTTGCACATACAGATCTCCACTCTCTTTCCCTTGCTTCACCTCATAATCAACTTTGATTGCTTCCGATTCCTTTCTTAAATGCCAATTCCAATTCCTTTCTTAAATCCCACATAATCCAACCCTTGTCTTCCCCTTCAACTTCTGCTACAAGTCCTCTTTCTTCAAAATATTTAAAAAAAAAAAAAAAAAGCCAGCATTCTCCATACCACCAACAACAAAGTTTCCCTTCTTTTCTTCTCTTTCTTAAGGGCATGATGATCTTCAAATGAAAGAGCGTCAACGTTGGCAACCAGAAGAAGACGCGCTCCTCAAATCCTATGTCAAACAATATGGCCCTAAAGAATGGAACCTTATTTCCCAACGCATGGGAAAACCTCTTAACCGTGACCCAAAATCCTGCCTGGAACGTTGGAAAAACTATCTCAAACCAGGCATCAAAAAAGGGTCCTTAACCCCAGAAGAGCAATCCCTAGTCATCTCCCTTCAAGCCAAGTACGGTAACAAGTGGAAGAAAATAGCCAGCGAAGTCCCTGGCCGTACAGCCAAAAGACTTGGCAAGTGGTGGGAGGTTTTCAAAGAAAAACAGCTCAAACAATTGCAGAAGAAACAAGGCCGGAAAGAATTTTCCCCCGAAGGTAGTAGTAGTGTAATTACTCCAGCTGTATCTTCATCCCCAGGTCAATACGATCACATTCTCGAAACCTTTGCTGAGAAATACGTTCAACCAAATAACAAGTTTCTTGCCACTTATTCCACCATGAACTTATCTCCCATTATGCCTCCCACCATTTCACTACCCGACCCTGACCCCGTTCTCTCACTCGGCTCGGGAAGTTCTGGGACTGCCACGACGTCCTCTTCTGTTGTTTTGCCACTCTGGATGAATCACAATCACACCACTTCTTCATTGTCATCTTCGACTTCATCAACCACCCCATCCCCGTCCGTAAGCTTGTCTCTTTCCCCCGGAGAGCCGGCTCTTGACCCAGACTTGACCCGGTTCATACCGGGTCAAGTTTGTACCCTGGTGCAATACTGTAAGGAGTTGGAGGAAGGGAGGCAAAACTGGATGCAACATAAGAAGGAAGCAACATGGAGGCTGAGCAGGTTGGAGCAGCAACTGGAGTCAGAGAAGGCAAGAAAAAGGAGAGAAAAGATGGAGGAGATAGAGGCAAAGATACGGTGCTTAAGAGAAGAGGAGATGGCGTTTCTTGGGAGGATTGAGAGTGAGTATAAAGAGCAGTTGAATGTTTTACAGAGAGATGCCGAGACCAAAGAAGCTAAGCTAATGGAAGCTTGGAGTAGTAAGCATGTTAAGTTGGCTAAGCTTATGGAACAGATTGGGTTCACTACTCAATCTCCACCTTGAGTTTTCCTTTTATGTTTTAGTTTGCCATTAATTTTGTCTATTGTCATATGCTTTGAAATTTCCTTACTTTTGGTTTTGTTGGTGTTCCGTGTACTATCTTTCATGAATCTTTGAATAATGCTGATCTAGTTTTTATGGCTTTTGATCAAGTTCCATGAAATTCAACATTTCTGCAATTTTTGACTGCTTATTTATTTATGAGGAATTAATGGGTTCATTATGATGATTAATTTAACTAAATGTACCACGTTAAAAAAAAGTGTACTTGAATTAAGAACTTCTAAACAACGGAAGTTTTGATGATTTAATGTATTCGTGTTTGTGAGCGATTTTGTACTGCCCTTCTGTATGAGACATGGTAGAAAAAGTGTGAAGGGATTCTGGCAAGCAGAGCTGAAGCCTGAAGGTGGTCCTTCTATAAAGATGTAGGGTCCAATCTGGTTTTCACGCTTTTGTTAGTGGGAAGAAAAAAGCTTTGTCCAAAAGATCGACATGTTTTTCATTAAAAAAAAAAAGATTAACAATGTTTTGTTATTCACAACAACATTAAATATTATTTTTCTTTATTGTACAAATTTCCAGAATTTAACAAAATAATAATACTAATAATAAAACCATAAGCACACTTGTAGCTCCAATTTCAGTTTAAGATGTAAGATTTTATTTATTATTTTAAGTTTAATTGTTTGGTAAAAATTTTTTTGAGTGATTGTTAGTGCTACGAAATTTAATTTACTTTTTCTCCGGTGATTGGAGATGATTTTTTGTTGGTTCAAAGGTAGTAAAAAACCATCCAACATATATGCATAACTAGCTTTTTTATTTGTGTGATACCTAAATTTTTTATTATATTTTTTATAATTTTAATTTTTATAATTTTTTATAATTTTTTTCTTATTTTCATATAAAATATATTTTAATTTTTTATTTATAACAAAATTTATCACACTTTAATCTTAAAATTTTTGTTTTAAATGTGCATATACACTAAAAAGTTCTTAATTTTTTGGTACTAAAATTGTGAGTTTATAAAAGTGTCAATAATTTTTTTTTTTATTTTACAAACTTAATATAATAACTTAAACTTTTAAGGGCATTTTTAGCCAACTCTCACCTCTTAACTTTTACCCTTTGAATCCACTTTCTCTTTTTTTTTTGCTTTTATCCCCATGAATCTCACTACCAATTTTTTGAAATCTCTCTCACTCTCACCGTTCTCCACCAACGAACTTCTCTTTCAAATTTGTCTGAAATCTCCACCACCATCGACACTATCAATCTCTACCACAATCGTTACCATCAATGTCAACGTCGCTACAATTTCCTCTGCTACAATTTTTTCAATTTGTTTAGCTAGGTATTGTCGAATCACTATGTTCTTACAATTTGTGTTTTTCTAAATGGACTTCATGCTCTCTATTAAGCCTCTGCATTTCTTGTTTTTTATCTGTCAATTCAATCGTTGTCATCTTCTCCATCAACATCATTTCAAAACATGTATTCACTAAAATTAGTCTCTTTCCTCATTTTGATTATGATTTGGAATTGACGGTCCAAAGGTCATTACTAATTAACTTCAGTAAAGTTGTGATTTGTGATTTCATTTTTGAGTTTGATCTTTTAATAGTCTTATGCAGTGGAGTTAAGAACGGAAGCAATTTCATAGAGGCAGAAGTAATTTTTGGTCCGATAATTTCTTTTATTTTCTATTTTTCTTGATTACTAATTTAAATTTTTATTTCCTTTTCATTTAAGGTTAGAAACCTATTAATTTTTGTAACTTTCTCCTCTTGATTTAAACTTATTGTTTGAACTTTATTAATAACTTCCACATTTTTCTTTTACCTCTGCTTGTTGTAGAACTCTATTTAATTGTTTTTGAACTCTGATTGTAGGGTAGTCACCTTATGTACAAGCATTTTGCTACTCTTAACTTTGTATTTGTATTTGATAGTTCTGAAAATGAACTTGCCATACTTGACTTGATACAAGGAATGTGTCTAATTTTTCTTGTAGAGTCACCTATAATGGAGTAATCTATCTATGAAATGTTGTTCTTTTATGTTATGATCTTGTCAAACTCAAGATTTCAATTTACTCAATACTTGGAGATGTCTGAATATTTCATCTTGCATTATAGATATGAAAACTTTAAATAAAGCTGAATGGAGCCATTTTGGTGGTCTCTTTGATGATTTGAACTTGAATTAAGTTCACATACACATTTTTGTAAAATAGATCCTTTTCTTTGACCATTTAATGAAAAGAAGAAAACAAAATTGATTTTCATGTGCACTAGAATCGGTGATCACTGTATGTAGTTTTGCAAAATATCATTACTAATAAACTTCTGAAGCTATCTGTTTATGACAAAGAGGGTGGATATATAAGCAATAATTACAATCTTGCTGTTGTTTAATTAATTGGATCAGGGCATACTGCTGGTTTTGAAATGATGTTGTCTAACATTTGAATTGAATCACTACATATTTATTTATTTATTTAGAATTTTTTTGGTTTAGTGAAAAAGTTTCTGTGTTAAAAATTTGTATTGATATTTAGTATGCAGGTCTTGTACCTGCAACCTTCATGATGCTCTAATCAATTGAACTAATAGGCCAATTATTCTTTTTATTTTTTTTAGCTTGACATAAATTTATTTCTCTTAAAACATTGCTGATAAGTGATGATGAAAGAACATTTTTTACATTTTAGATTTTAGTTTGGAGTTGTAATTGTGCGACAAAATTATTGTTGAGGAATTGTTATTTCAAAAGCCATGACACAAGTCATTTTAATTTAGATTGAAAATTTTTGAACCTACTAACCTTGAATTGAAGTTTGGATTTCACTGGAGCTAAGAAATAGTTATCAGAGATGGATGATGGTTTAAAGTATGGTTTTAACTTTATGGAGTAGGGCACTAGGTGTGCAGTTGTTAGCAAGGGCTTCAGAAGAGTATGTTTGTGATTCTTCTTACTTCTAACGTTAGATTTAGGTAGGAAACAGGTCACAGATGATTTTACTAGATGCTATTTTCAGGCATGTTTACTATGTCTCCTTATTCTCCCCTCATCTCTTGTTGCCTTATTTGAAGGCAATAACAAACATAATGATGATAACATTCTGATCTATAAGAAATTTAAGTTGATGAGTTACTACCTTGCTTGTATGAAATTCACTGAAAAATTTCATTCTTGTTTATATAATAGGTGAGGATTCTTGTTAGATTATATGTCTATAGTTGAATATGCCATCGTCTGGTTCTGATCCATGCATGTCAGCAATACTGAAGTTCTCAGTGTGTTATCTTAGCATTTTTTTGAAGAAGGGATCATAACAAAATGGTTCTGTTTGAGATAATTAGTCTAGTCTTTCTGAATAGCTTGCTTTGCCCTTCAAGTTATAATCTTAGATTATTGTCATTAGCATAAGCTTTAGTGATGTTTGGAAATTAATCATGTCTGTTATTATATGGTCATTCATGTAAAGTTTATTGTCATATGGAACTTTGAAAGGGAAAGATATTCCATTCACCTACTGTTGATGAAGAGACTCATTTTTGCATATAGGACTTGAAAATTGGTTGCTATTTGCTAAAAATACAAAGTTTCTTTAGTTTTTATTTGATCTATTATTACATTATCTTGTCCTTTTGCTACTGCAGGAGAAACTTTTTGCTAGTAAAAATAGAATAGAGGCTTCACTAGGGAAGAAGTTAAATAATGACATGCTTTCTGAGATTGAAAAGGAACACAAGGTACCTAAAAGTTTCTTATTGTCATTAAGCAGCACTTTAGAACTGTACCCTTATCTTAAAGTAAAATCTCTCTTAATCTGATTCTTTCTTTTGCTTAGAGGATAGAGAAGTTATTTTTTTTATTGAAAAAATAACATAGACAAGCACTTCTTCTTAATAACTTCTTGGTTGTTGATGGGATTTCTCCAGAACGCTCCCTTTGTGACAGAAAACTTGTCACTTACGCATTTGGTAAGGAGCTTTAAAGTCCAACATGCCTCTTTTTACTAGATTTTTATTGTGTTAATTACAAGATATCCAAGTTTTCTGATGGTTTTTGCTTTCTACTTTTTAGTCATAAATACTGGCAGTATTAATCTCAACTCTAGGATTTATAAATTTAAACTGACTTGTGTTGGCATTATTAACATTCAAATGCTGGGTAAATGTAAATGCTTTTATCAAAGCTAATATAGTTTCTTATGATTTTGCAGGTGATTATGATTGGTCAATAAATGAGGCTATTAAGATTACCCAGCATGTAATTTATAACCAAGACATATTTCAGAACCCATTGATTTTTTATATATAAATTTCATTGTTATCATCTATAGTCATATTTTTTTTTTCTCTTGATATAGTTCTTAATGTCGACCATATATCAGGCGGAAACCACCATCCTTAGATCCTTTCAATAAAAAATTTTGATTTAGATGTCAAACCTTATAGTTTTCTATTTGTAATGGGATTGGTATCAAGTTGCAATCTACCTTTGATGGTTATCTGATTTTTTAACAGCTTGTAGACAATGACAAATGGCATTGCTATTGAATTTTGCCAATGTTAGTACTTATGAATCATGATATTGTCAATTTATTGATATCAAATTTGGAAGGTTTATTTCTAATTTTAAGTATGCTTCAATGTTTCAAATGTGATGAACATGTCAGTTAATTATTGTTCTATAATCAGGAGAGCAAAATTTAGGATATAAGTAATCTAAAAATGTTCTTTTGCCAGAAATTGCAAAAGTTGGGCCTTGCAGACCTTCATTTCTCATACTTTCATTCTCTACTAATTAGTATGAATTGTTTTTTAATTTTATTAGGTATAAAGATAAGAAATATGAAATATATAGCGGTGTTTGAAGAATAAAATGTCACTAAATTTAAAATTTAAATCATTGTAAAAAAATTATTTAATTTTATTATTTTGAAAATATAATCTTATAAAATTTATCTTAAAATGAAACATGTTGTTTTTTTTAGTATTTAGCGTCATTTTAATTAAAAAAGTAGTGAATATAGTGGTGTTTTAAATAAAAACACTGCAAATGTTGCATATTTAGTGGCTTTTTCCTTTTTTTTTTTTTATAAATGTTGTTGAAACATTTTGGGATTGGGAAGTGCCCATCTGCAGGATGATGGGGAGTGAAGAAAAAAGGGGCTTAAAAAAAG